CCTAAGTAAAGAGGAAATACATTGTGAGCAACTTCCAAAATTCTAGAATTGACAGAGACATCTCTATACCTGGACTGTCACCCAAAGTTCTTCTGTACCATTGGGGCATTCAATATTCATCCCACAGGCCCATAGTATCCAGCAGACTTTCCACAAAGCAGGAAATTTCAAAGACAGTTCCACCAATATTAGCAATTTGTCAGTCACTTTCTTCTGTGTCCTGCAGAATGTCTGGCAGACCCTTTCATGAAGCAGGAACCCCAAAGGACCATCTCACCTTTAGGCAAGTTCATCAGTCATTTCCCTGCGGGTCATGAATGTCCAGTTAAGCAGTTTAGGTAAGAGCAGTTTCTTGCCCAAATAGGGAGCAAACTCCATAAGGAGACTCTTTGATGTCCATCATCCTCTTGAACTAGTTGCTACTGCCAGGATCAGATGTGTCTCACTGTCATGCAAAATCTTAATTTCTTAAATATTTCAAATGCCATATTCTAAAGGTCTCTAAAAGATTTAAAGAATACCTATCCAACTGAAATATATCTCTATACATCTAGAAAATCCAAGTACCATGGCTACAAGCTTGACTATTATAGATGAGTATCTATTAACTTATATTTCTTAATTATACACTACATTTTAAAATGATCTACACAAACACATATCTTAATCAAGGTCAGAAATACATATTCATATAGCAAATTAACCTTAAATTTATATCAATAAATTAAGATCCATACCAATGCAAATTATTTATCTCTATAGCATATCCCCTTTAAATGTAAACAAACAATTATAAACAATATTTGGGAATATGGGCATAGTTCTGTTCATACTGCTTCCTGCTATTTGGGGGCACTGTTAATCAGGTCTTTCATGGTGTATCCTGTCTGCTAGGTTCATCTCAGTCAGCAGTTGGGTGAAGTAATTTTTTGAGGGTGTTCACCACAACCTTTCAGGAGGGCATGGTCTATCAAACCATATTGTTCTGGAAGCAACCCACAGGTTCTCATCTTCTATGAAAACAAAAGAAGAACCTCTTTTCCACAGCAACATATTCTTAGACTCAAATTTTGGAATCAAGCTACCTTTATGTTGGTTTAACTTAGCAGCCCATATAATGAAATGTCTCTCTGTAATTAGCTCCTTTACAGTCAAAAAATTTGAAGATAACACAATAATATATATAATCTAGATTCTCTGTGAATTTTCCATCTTTATATGGCTTATATTTATTTACTCCTTTTAATATATGACTGTCTGTACTCTGTCTCTTCAAAAACTTTATCCTGTTTTTTAAAGCATTAACTTAATTTTATGGCTCTCTATACTCTTTTTCTTCTCTCTTCCAAGCCTATGTAAATTTATCCAACACTATGATTCATCTGGATTTGTCCTTTTTTGAGATTTATTTATTTATTTATACAGTATCCTGACTGTAGGCCAGAAGAGGACACCAGATCCCATTATAGGTAGTTGTGAGTCACCATGTGGTTGCTGGGAATTGAACTCAGGACCTCTGGAAGGGCAATCAGTGATCCTAACCATTGAGCCATTTCTCTAGTCCTGGACTTGCCTTTATAATATATCTGTAATTATTTTCTGACCAGAAGTGCTTCTTAAAACGCAAAGTGCTTAATAATCTAAGCTGTGATCTTACTAGGCTACATACAGTACTTCCTTCTTGCCATGCCCATTACAACGTGGCAGAGCTGCTCACTGCTCTGAGAGTCATACACACT